AGCCAGCGAGCCAGCTCCCTCCACCCATCAATTCACAGTGTTGATTTCTGAGGCATTTCAAAGTAAATTGCAGACATTGGTACACTTCCTCCCAAATACTTTAGCATCTTCATGAGGTTTGGCCTTGCCCATTCATTGGCCAGAAATGTATCAAATGGCCACACTGCTGCAAGGCAGGCTGGGAGATTATCTATTTTAAGTTGTCTCTGTGTCCTGAATAAAATTAGGATTACGTAAGTAAGAAAGACATGGCAGCGGACTTTGGATAGGCAGCCAGCAGTCTCTGCACGTAAGGAACATCTTTTTATAAAGTTTGGCCTCCCTGGAATCTTGCCTGAAAATGTTCCCAGAGCCAAGCAATGATGTGGAAGATCATGATGGGGAGCTTTTGGGGCAGAGCCTATAATGATGTAATGACCTAACCTCTGGCACATTTAGGAGCTGATCCCTTTGGGGACACATACAGACTGAGGAACTGCCCCTCTCTCCCTCTGTCAGCTGCTGGTATGGCTGTCAATCTCACTGTCTCAAAAAGTTCACAGGAAGACCAGGAGGTCCACATTTTTTAATATTTACACAGTCAAGTCACATGCATCTGATGGCCATGCTTCCAGAAACTCAGCCACCCAAAATGTAGGATAAACCAAAGTAGAGGCATGTATTTCTACTTTCTGAAAATACATGGCGAGGCAAGAGTAGGTCCTGGGTGAGCACTGGGACTTGGGTTCTGGTTTCAGGTCTGCAGCTAACCAGCCATCACCAATTCACTTCTTCCTGGGCCTTCTCTCCTTTGCTTGGGACATAATGTACATAAGCTGACAAACAGCTCTCACAGATGAGCTGTTCTCTGGATTGTGCCTGGGATGATTTTATTGCAGCCACATGATCTCTATCTTTAAGAATTTGATGTCTATGCAGTTGAACAAAACCTATTTCTTTATCCTGCAGGCCATACATTGGTAATTATGAGTAACATAAGGCAGTAAGTGGACACAGCGTTGTAAGAAATGACAGCCTAATGGAGAAAGGAAATAAAAGTACAAAAGTATCGCCATATGGGGTCATTTAGCGAAGGGGTGAAAACTACACGCAGCTGCCCCGTGGACATCCCCATACCACAGCACAAATCTGTAAATGATGTTTATAGTGATTACCCCAACCCATCACAATGTCTCAATTATGTTCAGTTAAATCTGGTTAAGAAGGTAGAGGCATTTGTAATTCATTCTGGAAATATTTCCATGAGATGTTTAATATTTTCAATGTTAACTGCACTTAAGTTACCTGGGTAATTCACTTACATGTTTTGTTTCACTTCCAACGATGTGGGATAAACTACATTCTGCTGTGTCCTACACACAGGTTACGAATGCACTCACCTGTGACTCAACAAGGTAGGGTGCCACCACTGTGGGAAGAACCGTGAGTTCATGAGAAGTACAAAAGGGTGGTGGAAAATTAAAGGAGGGAGAGAGAGCCAATTTGAATTTCAGGAAGCAACAGCCCTTCTTCCACACCTGTCATGGCTGCAGAGCATCAGATGGACAGCGGTGGGGAAGACCCTCCTGGAAGAATAGGGGGAAGGTCCAAGGGTCCAGGAGTGTGGAGGGTACTTCCAGAAGGCAGTGGGGTTTGGTGTGGTCAGAGGAAAGTGCCAAGGGGTGGGTTATGAGTGATACGTAAAGATGTTATTGGCAATAAAGAGTTTTGACTTACCTATAGACTATGAGACACCATTAAAGGTGTGATATCATCAGGACTGTGCCTTCGGAAGAATGTTCTGGGAGTAATATGTAGGCTGTATGGGCACAGAGAAAGACTAGAGACAGAGACTCAGTAAGAGGTTGAAATAGCTCAGTGAAAAACTCACAGAAGAGTCCAAGCAAAGGTTCAAGACATGTGCATGAATTCTCATAGCAGACTTTATCACAACTGCCCCAAATTGGAAAGAGCCAAATGTCCTCAGGCAGAAGAATGGATAAACAAGGTGTCCTTTACCCACACAATGGAATACTGCTTGGTAATATAAAGGAATGAACTACTGCTAAAGTCAACTACAAGTATGAATGTCAAAATCATTATGCTGAGTGAAAGAAGCCAGACCTCCCCCCCCCCGAAAAAAGAGTATATAATGTATGATTCCATTTATATAAAATTATAGAAAATACAAACTAATCTTCAGTAGGAGAAGCAAATCAGTGGTTCCCTGGGATGCTGGAGGGGGGTTTGGATGGAAAATGGGGCACAAGAAATATTTTGGAGATGATGGAAATGTTTTATATCTTAATTGCGGTAGAGATTTCATAGGTATATGCTTCTATTAAAATTAATGAATTACACATTTTTCTTCTTTTTTAAATTTAATTTAATTTTTTAGAGAGAGAGCGTGAGCAGCATGGTTGGGGGAAGAGGGAGAGGAAAGAGAGAGAATCTTAAGCAGGCTCCACACCTAGCAAGGAGCCCAACATGGGGCTCAATCTCACAACCCTGAGATCATGACCTGAGGCAAAATCAAGAGTCTGATGCTTAAACCAACTGAGCCACCCAGGTGCCCCAAATTACACATTTTAAATAGGTGCAGTTTACTGTACATATATCACACTGCAGCAAAGTGGATTTTAAAAACCAAGAAGTTTTTACATCTAGGGGTGCCTGGGTGGCTCAGTCGGTTAAGCATCTGCCTTTGGCTCCAGGTCATGATCCCAGGGTTCTGGGATTGAGCCCTGCCTTGGGCTCTCTGCTCAGCAGGGAGTCTGCTTCTCCTTCTCTCTCTCCCTCTGTGCTCTCTCTCTCTGAAATAAATAAATTTTTAAAAAATCTTTAAAAACTAAGAAGGACTCCTGGACAAAGATGCTGGATGGAACTTATCTACTTTCATCTTTTTGACCAAATAATAGTAAAATCACTTTTTAAAAAGGCATATAAATACAAGGACAGTAACATGAAAAAGGAGTCATTAGCAACAAAATTAATAGAAACCAGAAAGGATGGAGTAAACCTGAGATGACTGAATCCTAAGGGGCCAATAGGAACAGCCAGGACCAACTCACTGCACAAAGGATAAGGAATTACAATGGCCCCAATTACCTCTGGTCAAGAAGGTGTAGGGAGGTTGGGTAAATGAGGACTGATTGAACATCTGTTTATAGGCATTCAGCTTTTACACTGATAGCCTTCCCCACCCTCTCTCTGGAGAAGACAGTGTCTTGGTACTGATTGATACCAGATATGGTTGAGGGAGGGAAAAACAGCAAAACCAGGGCGCTAAGAGGAGGTAGACATGCTGGGAGTTGAGATCCCTGCCCATTTTCTCATTTAGGTCCCAGAAAGTTTGTAGCCTAGCCTTCAACCTCCAAGGAGAGAATAGCATCTTTGGGAATGTGACCAATCTGAAAGGAAAAACCTAAAATATTGTCATCAAGTCACAGCCCAGTGAGGCCATCCTACCATAGATAAGGCCACGGTGGTTGAGCTCCCTTCATACTCTCAGCACGTTAAGTAAGCATCTCATCCCTCCACTCTGAAATATAACTAGACAACCAAGGATGATAACGCAAAACATAGAAACTAAAACAAATAAACATAAAGCAATTTGGTGGAAACAGACATATGCCATTATGTCTCTGAGAAAGAAAATATCGCAGCCGTGAAACAAGAACAGATTAGTATAAAAAGGAAAAATTCTGAGGATGATAAAAAGAGCTCTAAGAATTTAAAAAATAGCAGAAATGAACCCCTCAATTGAAAATTTGGAAGATGAAACTGAAAATATTACCTGAAAAAATAGATTTAAAAAAAACACAAGGGATTCTAGAAAGATAGGTGAATTTTCTTGTAAAAGAAGGGGGGGGAATCAATTAAATATTTCAAGAATGTTTCCCATAATTGTCAAATATCAGTTTGTATATTAAAAGGGCCCACTAAATACCCAGGACAAAAATGAAAAAAGACCTTGCAAAGGCACATCAACATGAGCTTTCAGAACACAGGAGACAAAAGAGATTATAAGCTTCCAGAGAGAATAAAAAAGAAAAGAAAAGAAAAGAAAAAAAGAAAAGAAAAACAGGTCACACACACAAAAATCAGGAATCGTGACATCTTCAGATTTCTCAACAGAATTACTGGAAGATAGAAAATGGAACAAGATCTTCAAAATTCAGAAGGAATATTAATTCTAACCTAAAATTCCAAATTCAGCCTATTTATCAATTAGAGGGTAGAATAAGGCATTTTCGATCAGGCCAGCTCTCAATAAATTGTATCTCCTCTGCCCTCTTTCTCAAGAATGTCTGAAAGATGTGTTCCACCACAACAAGAGATTAAGAAAGAAGATGTGGGGTACAGGTAATAAGAGCTCAATGTAGGAGGAAGGAAAAGGAAATTGCTAGAATGATGATATAAGGAGATCCCAGAATGATACCTTTGGTCTGCAATTAATAGTTGTTTTTCCTATTAGGGGCTTATAGCCCAAGTTGCATCTCATGCACTAAAAGATTTAAACACACACACATGCCACAAAAAACAAAAACCCTAATGATAAGGCAGAGTTTTCAAACATTTTTTGTGTGAAAGAATTACCCAAGGGCTCATTAAAAATGCAAATTCTGTTGCGCCTATTCTAAGAGATTCTGTTTGAGGTCCAGAATGGGACCTCAGGGAAAATGCACTTTGACCAGTTACCTTAGGTGATTCTATACAGGTAGCTCATGGACCACATCTGCAAAACACTGGTCTGAACAAGAGTACTAATAGCCGAGTAAATGTAAGCTCAGCCGTAGTATTTATGGCCTTCCAGCATTTACTCTGTTTTTCAAATTGAGATATAACTCACATAAGTAAAAAGCACCACTTAAAAGTGTACAGTTCAGTGGATTTTAGTAAATTCACAGAGTTGTATGACCACCACCACTACCTAATTCCAAAACATTATCATCACCCCCAAAAGAAACCCTGTACCAGTTACTCCCCATCCTCCATTCCACCCCCCTCCCCACTTTGCAATTACTAATCTACTTTCTGTCGCTACGAATTTGCCTGTTCTGGACATTTCATACGAATAGAATCACACAGTACGTGATCTTTTGTATCTAACCTTTTTCATTTAACATGATGCTTTCAAGGTTCATCCATGTTGTCTTGTGTATTAGTACTTTGTTCCTTCTTATGACTGAATAATATTTCTTTGTATCGTTATATCACATTTGGCTGATCAACTCATTAGGTTGATGGACATTTGGGTTGTTCCCAACTTTTGGCTGTTATGAATAATACTGCAATGAACATTGTGTGAACACCTGTTTTCAATTCTCTTGAGTATCCACATAGAGGTAGAATCACATAGGGTCATATGCCAACGCCCTGTTTAATTCTTTGGGGAAACCACAAAACTGTCTTCCCGGTGGCTGCATCATTTTATGCTCCCACTCAGAAATTCAGAAATGTATGAGGGTTCCAATATCTTCACATACTCACCAACACCTATTTTCCTTCTTTTTTTTTTTTTTTTTGATTATAGTCATCCTAGTGGGTGTGACTTTGGGATTAAGGATTTGATTTTCCCTAATCCCTTGCTGGGATTTGCTCTTGCTTATGCAATTCTTGTTCCTATCCTCCCGATTTTTGCCTCATATGTGCATTGTCAGATCACATAGCTATTACATATTATAAACTTCCTTGATGCAATTTATTTTCAATTTCTTACATCAATGTCTCCCCAGTCTGAAGTTTATTTTTTACTAGATTCCTTGGGAAGAGCTCCTGGGAACAATATTCCCGGAGTTTCTGACAATTTAGTTCATTCATGTCTTTATACTTGAAGATCAGTTTTGGTGGATTAAAATCCTTGGCTCACATTTTCTTAACTTGAGTATCTTAAATATGTTCCTCTGTTATCCCACTTTCTTATGACCTAAAGCGTTGCCTGAAAAAGTCTGAGGATAACTAATTTTCTTTCTCTTTTAAGTCACAGACTCTTTTGCTAAAGAGTCCCAAAGTAGTTTCATTTTTCTTTAAAGACAAGAGATTTTACTACAGTTTGTAAATTGGAAGAGGTACAACAGGACATCAGTGAGTACCCACCTCACCACCACCATCAGGAACCTGAAAATAGGTCAGTTTCAGGGAATTAACTCTACACTTAAAAGGTTGGAACATAGATACCCAAAGTCACTTCAGAAAGGCCTAGAGGACAGGAACCTGATGGAAGGTATTGACATAGCAAAAGGAAGATGGTGCCCATCAGAAGGGGGTGGGTGGATAGTAGGGGCCAGCTGTAGAAGTATAGAGAAGGATGTCATCAAGGCTAAAGATGGCAGGTTGTGGTTTTGGCTTCCTGGGTCATTTTCTTACCAGAAGAGACTCTGCTGAGTGCTGAGTACAAGAGTCCAGTTCCCTGGGTAGTTTTGTTTCTTGATGTAAATTAATAAATTAACATCCTGTTTACATAAATCAGGCTCTTACAAGTTTAGCCAACAGGAGTCAACTTCTCCACCTGGGAATACTTCTGAGACTTTGGTAAGGCCAGACAACTGGATCTGCACAGTGAGGGCCAGACCAGGACTCTGGAGACTTACCTGAAGTCTGGCCATGCAGGAAAACTCTCGGTGGCCTGGGCAGTCTTGGGGGTGGCCTCAGCCTGCAGCATCATGCACCGTGGACCTTGCCTGGGCAGCAGCACTAGTTTGTGCAATCAGACAGAGGAGTGTGGGCTCCTTCTGAGTGTGACCACCGGCCAAGTAGTTGCTGGGAGCTCTGACGCTGCAAACAGCATGTAAGCAGGGATGCTCTGAGAGGAGGCTGACTGTTGTTGGCAGCTCCAATCATCTACCATTTCCAGGAGCCCCTTAAATATTGATCTCCAATGCCAAATTCTCAGGCTTCAGGATGGACTTATTGAGATTTAAAAGCTGGACTGCAATTCCCCTAAAACTGTCTAATCAGAAAAGCTTTATCCTTTCCTAACAAACTATTATTTAATGAGATACTTAGGACAATGGGCCAATTTCAAAGTTCTCATAAACCAAAAAATGAAGCGGATTTGTGTTTAGACATTTTCCATAACAATGACTTTTTTATTAAAAATTGGAACTGAATGAAAAGCCCCACTCTAATGTGATGGCTCTATATCCGTAAGCTGTGCGGTTCACAATAGTGACCAAATGGATAGTTTGTTTGTTTTTTAAGAGACTACATAGTTATACTTTATTCCACCGTCAAACTTTAGACAGCAAGAATCAGGCAAGCTTTCCACTGAGCTTCCAAAGCCCTTCTAGGCTCAGTGGAATCACAAACTCCAGCTTCACATCACCTTCTGGTTTAAGTTTCTTCCTCTTCCTCCTCCTCCTTCTCCTCTTCATCCTCATCGTCCTCATCAGAGCTGAATGTGCCGTGGGGCAGGTTGTAGACGCGGATGACCTGCTTGTTGGGGTCCTTGAGGATGAGGTACTTGCCCTCCTCCTCCAGCTTCATGCAGATGTCGATGACGCAGCGCAGGATGCCCCAGGCGTTCTAAATTGATAGTTTTTATATTTGCAAATAAGTAGTTGCTCATTTTGCTAATGAATTGTCAACTGGAATCATGCTTATAAAATAACCACCCTGGAGTTTCTTCGAGTAAATCCTTCTAAATAGTTGATGATACAGTACATGTTAACTAAAGTGAATTTAAGGGCGCCTGGGTGGCTCAGTTGGTTAAACGACTGCCTTCAGCTCAGGTCATGATCCTGGAGTCCCGGGATCGAGTCCCGCATCGGGCTCTCTGCTCAGCAGGGGGTCTGTTTCTCCCTCTGACCCTCTTCCATCTCGTGCTCTCTGTCTCTCATTCTCTCTCTCTCAAATAAATAAATAAAATCTTTAAAAAAAAAGTGAATTTAAATAAATAAATAAATAATAAATAATTGAGGATAAGAAAAATACATACATGATTGTGATGGAGTGATGTTCCAGCATGGGGTTTCACCATGCTAGGTGAGCCTAGAGAGGGACAGAGGTAGAATAAGTCAGGCCCAACTGCACAGCAGGAGAGAGACCCAAGCACTTCCGTAATCACTAACATCTGTCAAGCCTACTCAATGTCCAGGCTCTGAGATTGCAGTTATCTGGCCTTGCCAAAGTCTCAGAAGTATTTCTAGGTGGGGAAGTTGACTCGTGTTGACTAAACTTATAAGAGCCTGATTTATATAAACCAGAGAACTGGTTTTGCTGTTCTCTTATGGTATCACATGTCTGCTTGATGCCAAAGGCCAGTGAACTGTCATCCTCCCAGCGTGCAGGGGAGGCCATGCGGAGCCTACTCATTCTGAGTTTTGAAGGGCAAGTTCTTTGGATGGCCAGCAGTCAAGTTGTGGCATTCCTGAGGATCGCTGTCCTACCCGGTGTAGCCACTTCCAGAACCATAGTCCCCTTTGGGGCAGCAGGGGATCATAGCAGATATAAGAGCCCCAAGTAATGCCTCTTCAACCACAGAGGAAAACACAGGCTATAACTAAATGATGCAGCTAAGAATAGGTGGCAGGTGTGCAGAATGGCAGGCCACCAGAAATGCCCCCAGAACCTGAGAACATGGCAGAGCACATGGCTGCAGGAAGCAGGGACAGGGAGGTCCAGATGTCAGCCCACTGCAGTTAGCAGCCCTGCGATCTCAGAGCCCGGGCACTGAGTAGGCTTGACAGATGTTAGTGATTAGGGAAGTGCTTGGGTCTCTCTCCTGCTGTGCAGTTGGACCTGACTTATTCTACCCCTGTCCCTCTAGGCTCATCTCAGACCTCATCCCTCCTGACTTTCTGTCCTCCACCCACAACCCTCTCTCGTGCCTCTAAGTGAGCATAGCAGAGGCTGTTCCCTCTGGGCAGAGTTCCTTTCCATGCCCTCTTGTTCTGACTCCCTCTGCCTTTAGAGCTGAGCTCTATTCTCATTCCTCAGGGAAGCCTCCCTGGTCCTCCTCGATCAGGTCACATCTCCATATCAGATTCCCTCCTGGAACTTCAAACTCCTTTATACCACTTAGCCAGCTATACTTTTTATCTAGGTAGGCGACTCTTTTTCTCGTGCCCTGGACTGCAAGCTACAAGAGGGAGGTGTCTGTCTGCAACAAGGAAGGCTGCATCCTTTGGTTTTCTTCTTCTTCTTCTTCTTTTTTTAAATAAAAACTTTTTTAGAGCAGTTTTAGGTTTACAACAAAACTGAGAGGAAGGTACAGAGATTTCCCAAAATCTCTTCCCACAAAGATTTTCCTGCCCCCACACATGCACAGCCTCCCCCATTACCAACACCCCCCGCCAGAGTGGGACCTTTGTTATAATTAATGGACCTATGGTGACACATCATTGCCCAGAGTCCGTAGGTTACATTCGGGTTCACTCCTGGTGTTCTGTGGGTTTAGACAAATGTGTAATAGCATGTATCCACCATTATTATATCCTAGAGAATAGTTTTGCTGTCCTAAATCTCCTCTGTGCTCTGACTATTCATCCCTCCTTCCCTCCCCACCCCTCCGCCCCCGCCCCACCACACCGCCCTGGTAACCACTGATCATTTTATTCTCACTATAGTTTTGCCTTTTCCACAATGTCATATAGACATTGGAATCATACATAGCCTTCTTTCACTTAGTAATATGCTTTTTAAGTTTCTTCCATGTCCTTTTGTGGCTTGATAACTCATTTCTTTTTAGTGCTAAATAATACTCCATTGTCTGCATGTACCAGAGTTTATTTGTCCATTCACCTACTGAAGGACATCTTGTTTGCTTCCAATTTGGGGCAATTGTGAATAAACATCCATGTGTAGGTTTTAGTGGACTTCAGGTTTCACCTCCTTTGAGTAAAAATTGAGGAGCACAATTGCTACATCATATGGGAAGAGTATGTTTGGCTCGTAAGAAACCACCAAACTGTCTTCCAAAGTAGCTGTACCATTTTGCATTCCCACCAGTGAAGAATGAGAGTTTCTGTTGCTCTACATCTTCATCAGCATTTGGTGGTGTCTATGTTCTGGATTTTGGCCATTCTAATAGGTATGTAGTGGTGTCTCATTGTTGTTTTAATTTGCATTTCCCTGAGGACATAAAATGTGGAGCATCTTTTCCTATGCTTATTGGCCATCTATGTATCTCCTTTGATGAAGTGTCTGTTAAGAACTTTGGCCTATTTTTTAATCAGGTCATTTGTTTTCTTATTGAATTTTAAGAGTTCTTTGTATATTTTGGATAATTTTCCTTCATCAGATGTGTCTTTTATAAATACTTTCTACCAACTTATGGCTTGTCTTCTAATTCTCTTGATATTGTCTTCCTCAGAGCAGAGATCTTTAATTTTAGTAAAGTCCATTTTATCATTTCTTTCATGGTTCATGCCTGGTGTTGTATTCAAAATGGCGTCACCATACCCAAGGTCATCTAGGTTTTCTCCTGTATCTTCTAGGAATTCTATAGTTTAGAATTTTACATTTAAACCTGTGGTGCACTTTGAGTTCATTTTTGTGAAGGGTGTAATAAGGTCTGTGCCCAGATTCATTTTTTTTATTTTGTGTGGATATCCATATTTTTATTTTGGTGGATATCTAGCACCACTTGTTGAAGAGACTATCCTTGCTCCGTTGTATTGCTTTTTGCTCCTTTGTCAAAGATCGGTTGACTATATTTATATGGGTCTATTTCTGGGCTCTTTTTTCTGTTCCACTGATCTATTCTTTCACCAGTACCACACTGTCTTGATTACTGTAGCTTTATAGTTAAGTCTTGAAGTCAGATAGGGTCAGTCCTCCAACTTTGTTCTTCTCCTTCAATATCATGTTGGCTATTCTGGGTCTTTTGCCTCTCCATATAAACTTGACAGTCCGTGTGTCAATATCCATAAAATAACTTGCTAGTATTATGCAGTGCCTGGCATATACTGGCACATAATACTGAATACATATTGAGTGAATAAATGAATTTATTTTCATTTTGCTGGATCTAGACATCAAAATCCTCTGATTCCAGTTTTCCTACTTCTCCTAATCACTGTCATTTATTTACCTACTTTCTATCCCCAGCCAACCACAAAGCTTAAATGCACATCTCATGTAAACGTCTCCTGTCAGCTGTTCTTTTTGAGCTAATAACCTGAACAAGGACGTGCCTGTTGGTTGTCTGGGAATTCAGGTTATATTTATGATTCTGCTGTCAGCTGCCATTATTTGCACTGGTTAGGTCCTCTTCAGCCCTGTACCTCCTAGACCAATTAGAAGAAGATGGGGAGGCTTAAAAATTCCGTGAGGATGTGTGACTTGCACAGGCCTTCTTTTCTCCTGTCCCCAGCTGTCCCACCTCATCAAGACCATGGCCAGTATGTCAATACAGCACTTGCAGGACTTTGGGCTTTGGCTTTGCCGTTTACCCTGGCTTGGTCTTGGCCAGTTCTAGAACTTCTCTGCACTTAAGTGTCCATATGTGTAAAATAAGGATAATAGTATCTATTTCACAGAGCTGTACAATTAAATGATAATGCCTATGAAGTGCTTAGCCCCATGTCAAAGCACGGTGGCTGTATCTCAGCAGAGGTGAGCATATGCACTGGCAGTCAGACCAACACCTGTCAAGCCAGGGTCCCACAGCTTGGCAGGCATCACGTTGTTGGTCCATCTTTGTCCAAAGGTGTCAACTCTCCAAAGGCCAGGTATCTGATGGGTATGGAGTCCCTCCTGTTAAACGGTCCTGAGCAATATTATGCAGATATATTGATATATTTATACATTCTTGCTGTCCAGATGAAGTTACCTTGGAACACCAAAGGCAGCCTGGAGGAAGAGAAGATGTCTGAAAGGGGCAACCTGAAACAGTGTTTCTCCACTACACAGGAATAGTACTAGTAGTGGAGGTGATGGTAACAGCCAGAGTAAAGTAATAATCAAATCGGTAGCTGCCATTTACCATCCACCACATTGTTTGGTTCTCTTAACAGCCCTGATGAAGTGGTTATCCTACCTTCACTTACAGATAAAGAACACAGGAAAGTTGCCCAGGGTCTTCACAACTGGTGAGCAGGAGAACCAGGCTTGGAACCTAGTTGTTCACATATTCCATCCTCCCAGGCCATACAACCGCTCCCATCTCCTTTATCTTGGGTGTTTGTGGGAGTGAGAGAGCTAACTTTGTATGTGTGGCTGTAAGTGTTTGAGCCCAGTCCATGGAATCAACCTATCTTCTTTCCCTGAATCCTTTCCCAGAGAGGTCCTCTGAGACAGACAGTGAACCCACTGGAATTTAAACACACATGTTTGGGGGCGCCTTGGTGGCGCAGTCGTTAAGCGCCTGCCTTTGGCTCAGGTATTGATCCCAGGGTCTTGGGATCAAGCCCCGCATCAGGATCCCTGCTCCGCGGGAAGCCTGCTTCTCCCTCTCCCACTCCCCCTGCTTGTGTTCCCTCGCTTTCTGTGTCTCTGTCAAGTAGGTAAATAAAATCTTTACAAAAAAACAAAAAAACACATGTTTGTGCATGGTGCATGACAGGCTAGCAGTTAACTTTTCCTAATCCTGATTTTACACCCTTTTGCTGGGCACCTCTCATCCTCTTGGGAAAGTTATAAATGTAGCTCTAAAACTTGAATGCAAATGGATTTTGAGTAAAGACTCATATTTTCTCCTTCCAGGTACTTTTCAGTTTTATGTCCCAGAAAGTGTCCCTTTCACAAACAGGTGTTATTTCCATGTGTCTATGCTCAAGGACTGTGAATAATAGGATTTTAACTATCTGCAAAGCTGGTCAGAGCCAGAACTTCATTTCACCACCTTTGACAACCAGTCTTTGCTGATAGACTTGCTTTAGGACAAGAACTAGAGTGGGGTAGGTCATAGCAGAGCACAAAGAAAATTATTCAAACTAGATCAATATAAACATTTCTGGCCTTAAGTTTCATAATGGTCAGAGATTATCATTATGTCTCCAGTTTATTATTTTTGGCATCAGGAAACATGAGATCAAACAGTGAAATTTGGGGGGGGGGAGGCGGTTTCACACAACTGTCACTATCTTTAACATCCCACCCAAGAGTGATCTAACCTTTGCAAAGCCTTCACCTCAAATGCATTTTTATTGTTAGGTCGCACTGGTAATTCTCTGTTGCACTACCTTTCCTGTTTAAAAAATAAATTAAAACAATCTAAGAAGGCAGATAATGTTTAATGGAAAAGGGCAGCAATGGGCTAATGGTTGCCTAGCAACCACTAGACATTGTTTTGCTGCTTCACTTTAGAGAAGCCAAAATGGCGGCTATAATCCTTCTATGGCCCCCTGGACAGTGTATATGTGAGTGACAGTTCCCTCTGGGCCCAAATCATTTTCTTCTTTGTCTTGGGCAGGAGATCATTCCTTTTTTAGCTTCCAAATGGGGAAAACTCACTGCCTAATTCTTGAATACACTAATGCCTACACTTTAAATCTTCTCAGAAAATCTATGGCTGAACTTTTCAGGTTCTTCCTTTGGGCAGTTTTACTTAAGTGTTTTCATACATTCCCCATTTCCCCCTTTGAGTTCCCCTGTCAATCAATTACCAACCTGGTTAAGTAGTTTTCTGAGGTCAAGCAAGGCACTTGACATGATTTAGTTTTAGAAAGTCTTTTCTTGCCTTATCCTCCTTTCTGCTTCCAGAAGGGTCTTGACTGCTCAGTTCCCTAGGGCCATGAGAAGCTTGGTAAAGCTTTGACCATTGGGTGGGTTTTCTCACAACTAGAGAATGGAAGGGGAGGAGAAATATGGTTATAGAAAGTATGTTTAGAATTATCAGGATTAGAAGCATGATCAGTAAGACTGAATTACTTTTTTAGAAATAACATTTCCATTAGCTTATCTCAAAAACCACAAGTCTATTGTAAGGAACCCAAAATACCTGAATTGCTTTAACTCTTTGTACCCCTAAATCTTAAGTAGATTGGAAGTAGGTCTTGTGTGGCCTTGAAGAGAAAAAGGAAAAGCTACTATGTTGTAGATTGTCCATGATAGCTTGCTGATTTGGACAGATAGACAGGATGTGATTCTGTACCCACCTCAGAGGGCTGGGTACCCTAGAACAGGAGTGTTTAAGCAGGGTCCTCTAGGTGGAGAGAGTTCAAGAGGGCTTGGAATGACTGGAAACATGTCAAAATGCAGTGTGCATGTTTACACATGTATCCTTTCAGAGACAGGGTCTGTCTGTAGCCTCCAGAAAGTTAAAAACCAGTGGCAGAGAAGATGAGGAAATGGGGCTTTGTCAAGATTTTTTTGGTTTCAGACAAATATAGTGACAATGCTTTAAAACAAAAATGTTTCCAAAGAAGACAGAAGAAAGTAAGAATTTTTTAACTAGTTAGTAGGTCCTTTTGCTCACGAATTCAGTCAACAAATATTTATCGAGCCCTGTACCTATCAGTGTGAAAGGTCCTAGGGATACAGTCTGAAAAGGGCACAGTCCCTTAAATCATGGTGTTGAGGTCTAGGGGACTGAATAACATTAATTGAACATAGTGTATGCTAAGAATTTTATGAACATTAATATAATTTTCACAATCATATAAATTTCAAATTAGTATATTATCATACTAAACTTCAGATTATATATGAACTGAGAGCCTTTTGACTCTAAGTTCAGTTCTTTATCCACCTCACCTATAGGAACTCAGCTTTGGGGAATTCTTTGGACAGAATCCAAAGGCTTGAGTAGTTTCAACTAAAACAGCTTCTACCTGCATTCTAGTACAGGATTGGGTCTTATTTCCCTAAAGATCCAGGGAAAGAATAGAAAATGCTCTGACCATATTCTACCCACAAAATTAATACAGTAATACCAGCTAACGGTAACTGTTTACTGCATGCCAGGTCTTCTGCTAAATTCTCTGCATGCATGATCTTAATGTTCACAACTTCACAAAGTAAGCATCATTAACACCACTTTCCAAATAAGATATTGAGACTTAGACAGTTCCCGTAGCTAGTCAGAGTCCAGAGCCTAGATTCAAACCCAAGCTTCGCTGTCTTTCGTGTCAACGTTACGTAAATATTTAACTTCTTTGGGTCACTGGGAAACTCTCTGAAGGCTGGATCCACCAGGTACGTTTGTTTCTTCCAGAAAATTGGCACACCACAGGGAGTAATAACTGATACCAACACACACCTACATAAACACTTATATGGTATTATCATGAACTGAGAACAAGCTGAGACTTCACCCTACTTCGAGTTAGCAAGTGAGCCTGCCACTGTTTGGCGGCTGCTGGTGGAAGAGATTAGATGCAGAGACAAAGGGACAGTTTCTATCTCAGGAGCAGCAAGCCATTGTCCTGGCATTGTTTGTGCCAATTCCTACAGTGTGATATGAAGAGGGCCAGATGCCACCTGCTCGCTGCATGGCTCACATTAAAAGAGAGGAACTCTGAGCTTAGGGAACTGAATCTTTTATAATGGGAGTTAAGCATGGCTGCCTGAGCTCCAGAGGGAGATGTCTGCTTTATTATACTGACAGTAAACATGGCTGCTCTTTGCCCCAGAGGGAGGCACTGTCTCAATCTTCCAAGGCTGTTTATATACAAACGTCCTTGCAAAGATAGTTTGGAACAAAGGGTAGTTACTGCTTGCTTGCAAGATGTGCAGAAATACAAGAGACCCCAGAGAACTGACTCCCCACAAGGACATTATTTGCTGTGTGTCAGGATCTCAGTACCCCACAGCCCTATCAGATGGGTACTATTATGATCTCTCACTTTGCAGGAGAACCCAAGATGCAGAGAGGTTAAGTAACCCACTTGAGGCTACATGATTCATAGTGGCAGAGCTGGAATTTGAATCTGGGTTTCTCCAAGAGTCCAGTGTGTAACCACTTCACTATTTGAACATTTGCATGTCTCAGCAACACCTCCCTGGACCCTCTCTTTTTCTCCATAACTTTTCACCATTACAGAGCCCAGCGGTTCTCAAACGTGAGTGTGGAAGAGTCACCTGGAGTGTTTGTTACAACAGTTTTTGACTTGGGTCTGGCCTGGAACTTGAGAACTTGCGATTTCTACATTTCCCAGGTGCTCCTGGTCAAGCACCCGACTCTGGGGACCACTGTGATACCATGTAATTAACTTATTTTCTGTCTTCCCCACAGGAATAGGATATCCATGAAGTTCGGGATTTGTCTTTTTTTCTCCCCTAGCGCCATATCCTCCTCAGAGCTTACAATAGTGCCGGGCACATCCCAGGCTCTCAACACATATTTATTTAAAGAATCAGGAAAGAGGGGCGCCTGGGTGGCTCAGTCGTTAAGCGTCTGCCTTCAGCTCAGGTCATGATTCCAGGTCCTGGGATCGAGCCCCGCATCGGGCTCCCTGCTTTGCGGGAAGCCTGCTTCTCCCTCTCCCACTCCCCCTGCTGTGTTCCCTCTCTTGCTGTGTCTCTCTCTGTCAAATAAATAAAATCTTAAAAAAATATATATTATAAAGAATCAGGAAAGAAAATGGGGGAAAACCCATTTCTTCCAGACGGTGACGTGTCCTTAACTTTGGAGAATGCTCTAGTGCCCGGGGCGGTCCTTACTGCCACGAGGCTAGAGGTAAAGCATCAAGGACATTGAATCCCGACAGAAGGCAGCTTGTTCCTGATGGAGCCGCCCAATTTACACAGCTTCTGACCTCAAGAATTGTTGGAGTCACTTCTGGTAATTGGTGGATTTCATAAAAATGCCTTCCAAGGTGCAGAGAAACATCTGAGGACTTTAATTAAGCCCTCCACCATGGGGAACGGAACTTTTATGTACAGGGACTTTGGATTCTCTTTTTCTTTTTTATTTTTGAGCACTGTTGGCAAGGATGCAAGTACCAAGCAAGGATTCCAATTGAGTTCTTTGACACGGAGCCTTTTTTGCCAGTACATTTTTTTTTTTTTAAATGAAAGTGATTTACTGAGTAGAGCCGGCCAGTTGGGGGTTATGACCATTTATATTAATGGAATTTTAGACTCAGAATTTATCCTACATGGTACACCTCCCTCCCTATGGTTTGTGACAAGACGTGCAAGTTTCAATGGCTTGTTGTTCTTTCCCATTCCAGCTTCCCCCTAGAGCAAGGAGGTGCTACTCTAAGACAATGATTCTTCAATGTTAGTATGCATTAATCACAGCTTATTAAAATGCAGAACCCCAGGTCCCACCCCCTGTAATTTACATGTTTAACAAGTGATTCTTCTGCTTGCAGGTGGTGCCTGCTCACACTTTGAGAAGCACTGGAATGGGGAGAAAGAGCAAAGGCCTGGCCTGGGTCTAATCCTGATCGTTTATGCTAAATGTATGGCTTTCAAGTTCTCTTCTTAAAGGTCCCAGCAGCTCCGTTTCCTCATCTATAAAAATAGGTGTAATGTGCTTCCAGGAGCATTGTATGGAAAGAGTAATGAGAACATGTTAGCTTCTCAACCTGCTAGACTTTTCTGTGATATATGAAGAATTAAGGCATTTCTTTAAGGCAGGAGCATAGACAACACTGAATTCTCAGAGTTTTAAAAAATATTCAGTAGAACATTTCCTTGGAACAAAAGTTCCAAGGTTTCTGTTCTCAGTCATGAGGATTTAATAAGAACATCTAGACAGGATTTCAAATGGTTTAGCAGGAAGGATCAGGTATGCATGTATTTACCCATCCATCCAGCCATCCATCCATCCATCCATGCATCCATGCATCCATGCATCCATCCATCCATCCATCCATCCTTTCATCCACACAAAATGTTGGCCTGAAATTCTGTGCCCAGCTAGCTGCTGGGCATGAGGATCACCTGAGAGGTTTAAAACAAAAGTTCCAAACCACATAGTAATTCAGTAGGTCTGGGTTGGACTTGGAAACCTACATAATACAAGGGTTCCAAGGATGTGATTTCCATGCCTTGGAGGAAGAGGTCAAGGAAACCTTGGGAATATGAGAAATTAAGGTGAGCCTCAAATAAAGGATGGGTTAGGCTAGATGGGGATGGGAGGAGTTCAGCACAAACACAGAGTTGGGAACGCACACAGGCTCTTCCCAAAGTTCCCAGAGCAAGAGAGCTGTTAGTCTAAAATGTTACCATTCCATAGCTATTATACAGTTAGATCTGTATTTCCCAGGGTGTTGCAACTAAATGTGTGGATTATTAATAAATGGTTAGGTGACAAAAAAAAAAAAACCCACATATTTTTAAACAAAAACTAATAAGCACTGTGCTATCAGCAGAAGTTTACTGATTTCTCAGAGCCCTTAATGTGCTGATGAAGTACACTGAGACAACAGCATGCAATATTTCCCATATTTGACCACACAAATCTGTTTTCCTTTATGGGACAAGATTCCATGGACCTTATTTCAGAAGTTACTCCTCTCTCTGTTTATATCTGTATTTATGTATCTATCTATAGATATCTATTTATCTATATATTTAAGCACATATCCTGTAGTAGTAGGTTTAATTTTTACTCCTTTTCCACTGCCTGAACAGCATCTGCTGTATACACGGTTGTAGGTTGATCATGAGTTTTTTAAATCTTTAAACAGCTCGCTAGTTTTCATACTATCTCAGAGATGGTTATTAAAATTAAAGGGTTTAGTTCATTCTTGGAATCAACGCTCCCAACACTTAGGATTTCAAATCCAGCAGGCTTCCATGTAGCACAATCAGTCATATCAATTCACATTTACTCATGACATCAGGCGAGGTGTGGATTATTTACATCCTCCAGGCTTCCTGTCCACCACCCCACACCGCTTGGAGACCTGGACCCAAGCCACGACCGGGATTGTCTGTGCATGTACCTGGCACACGTAGTCACACTCCCATTATCTCCCCATTACTGCATCAGTGTACCCATCCCCAGCTGCTATTTAGGCTGCTAACAGGTCCCCCTTTCTGGAGGATTGCTCACCACGAGGGAGGCCACCTTGCCCAGGGAAGTCATGGCCCTTCACCCCAAGGGCAGCCCACAGCCCCTGACTGACCCAGTGAGGGCAGGAGAGGCTGGCTCTTTTGCTGCAAGGGGTGGGGGGAGGGGTTTCACAGATCTAAGGCTCAACTGGCTCTTCCCCTTCCACATCAGCTTCCCTCCCTCCCTTACAGGTTCTTCCAGAAGCACACACCTTTAAAAATAACTTCCACAAGACACATGAGACATCCCTTCTAGGAAACTGGAACAAAGTCACTGTCTATTGTGATCACGCCTTGATCTTGGCCAAGCTCCCCACAGCCCTCTGATGCTGTCTCGAAGGGCTGCCTCCCACCCTGTTATCTTGCCTGGTGGCTCAGCAGCATCCACAGGTACCTCGACACAGTGGGGTTCCACAATCTACATCACTAAAGATGACTTACTACAAAATGTTGGGCTTGGCATGACTAAATGGGACTAAATTGCTAAATATGACCTACATTACCAGCTCTCCAACTACCCTCTTCACTCCACATCACCATCCAGAGGCACCCAACCCTCCCCGCACCCCTCCCACCCCATGCAGTCACCGCGTCTTGTCAGGTCTGCTGCCTGAACACCTCCGGGGTTCCTGCTCTCAATGCCCACAGCCCTGGTTTAGGTTCTCTTCATCTCTTCCCCGGGCTACTGAAACCACCTAACCGGCCAGTTTTGTTTTGCCTTCCAACCCACCATTCTTCTACGTGAGTTTGCACATTTCTTGCTTAATATGGGTCAATGTCCCCTCACTCCCTACACTCAGTCCAACCTTCCTAGCCTGTCTCACAAACTGTGCAAGTGGGTTCCAGCCACCCTCTCCAGTGTCGTCACTCAGCTGCTCAACCTCCAAACTCCATCCTACCCTGCTGCTGCTGAACCCCTCGCTCTGCCCCCACTGTGCCATGCTGCTCCTCCTGCCTGGGATCCTCATGCTTCAACTGTGTGTCCCAGCTGAAGTCCCAATTACCCGTTTTGACTTCTACTAAACATCGCCTCTGCCATGAAGCCTCGATTGACTTTCCGTGGGTGGCAACTACATTCTCATTTGAGCCCTCACTGAGCATATAATTCTATTTCAGCACCTATACATCACACTAGATCCTTGGGACCTCTACCATGCACATTACCTGGTAACTGAGTGGCCATCTTGGTCAGCTCTGTCAACACAGCCAAGTAAGAATGCCTACATCAAATCACAAATAGCGGTCAGCGCTATTCAACATCATGCCTCAGCAGAACTTAGCTATGCCTCCAAGTTAAGGTCTGATGTGACTGAGGCAAGGTGGCAAACACTGCTAGGTATTTGCTAAAATCTCTCTCCTCTTCTTCTTGGGAAACAGCCAGTCTACACTTCATAGCCTCCGTTGTGGTTAAGTGTGGTGAACTAATGAAGCTCCTGCCAGTGCAAAATGACAAGTAATGGGTTCCACTTCCAGGCCAGGCCCCAAACTTCCCATGAGTGCCCTCCCATGCTCTTTTCCCTTCCGGTTCACTGAGATGGTGACACCAGGGTTACTAGGGAAAGAAGGTGAGAGAGTTGCCGTCGGTTTGGGTCTCTGAGTGGCCACACTGACAGAACTTCCTTTGTCCCATGACCGAGAAGTAAACTTCTATGGTGTTGAGGCATCATATTTTGGGGGCCTATTTGTTGCAGTAGTTAACGTCACCCTTACATGGACAGACACTATGATACAGCCATTCTAACACAGAGGACATGTTGATATAGTCTAAGAAATTACCAAGTATTGTGCAAAAACAGCTGCATTCATTCCTGAATCCAACCCCGTCAACGACTCTCACCTCTGTAGCAAGTCTGGGAAATAAAGTCAGGGTGTCAACCCCACTCACTGTGAGGTGCACACGCGTGGATCAGTCACTAAGCTAGTGAGACTGTAGCTAGCTGCCCAGCTAGGAAACTCCAGCCTGGGGGAGCGAAGGCCCACCCATCCATGTGACTCATTTTTGTACGTTACTTAATTTATTACATGTAAATGATTCCTTCGTATTTGGCAAAGAAAAAGTCACTGATTTTCTAATATCCCACCTAAAAATCAAGTTGTCCAAAACACGGGTTACCTACATTTCCCATCAGACAGTGCTGACTCATCTGTGGAACCACAAGAGTTAGTGTGCTATCTGACATATAGTAGGTGCTCAGTAAATGTTTCTCAGATGTCATGCAGGGAGAAATTCACAGCAATCCAAGGCTTCATTGTTTGACTATTCCTTGTGACATTCTTAATTACTTCTTCTAGTATCACCACATTACAAATGAAAACTTTTTATTCTGGGCAGTCATAATTATACACTATCCATCAAACAATAAAATGTTTATAGCAGAGGCACATTCAGCCTGAAGATGAAGTGATATATTAACTTCTTGATCAAATGCCAGAACTTAGAGATGAATATGAAACAGGCATCAATAATTACAGCTTGTACTATAGCTGTTGGTTTCTAAACCTTTAAGTTCAATGAACAAGTAATAACTGGACAGACACACCCTTCAGAAATTAGAGGTGGGAAAAGATGACCTCATTCCATACCTGTCACATGGCAGGCCCCCAGCAGCAATTCAGCAAGAGATGTTCCATGGGACCCAGAGGAGGTAAGGGCCGGGGCTTCTAGAACAATGCCAGGGAATAGGCACAATCGGAAACCTGGCAGAGGAGCACCCAGGAGCTAAGGCTTCTCTTGGGCACTACCCTCTTCTCTCCTTCCATTCCCTTTTATTCTGTGCCTCCTTAAGACACTTGTTCTGGACATAAAAGGCAGGTACCCAAATTCAATGTTTTAAAAATGCCATCTCACAGGGCACCTGGGTGGTTCAGTTGGTTCGGCTCAGGTCATATTCCCGGGGTCCTGGGATCGAGCCCCACGTCAGGCTCCTTGCTCAGCGGGGGACTGGGGGGGGGCGCTGCTTCTCCCTCTCCCTCTGCTGCTCCCCCTGCTTGTTCCCTCTCTCTCTAATAAATAAATAAATATTTTTTTAAAATGCCCTCTCACTAGGAATATCTTTATACCTTCTCTACTTAAATCTAAACTTTGTTACTAATACTAATAAAAAAAGAAGTATCCCTTAGCTAATTCTTGATTTTATAAGCCCATCTAAAAACACAGCATACTGCACGGCATTTAATGGAGAGGGCCCCGCCCGCTGGCCCTGCCACCTCAGAAAAGCCTGTACTTGTGTTCTGGGGATCAAGATCACAAAAGCCAGTGCTACAGGAAGCTATTCTGATGGCACCCCTGTATCTGAAGAAATTCTAGCGAAGTGAATCTGGAATACTCACAAGTGAGTAGAAGGAGATACTGCTGAAGAAACAACACACTTCATTTTCACATTAGAGCACAATGGTTTGGAGGCTCCTTTCTCAGTCTCTTCATGGCCATCTTGATCGGCTACATACCACCATGTTCTCGACTGCAGTCACCAACCACCTCCCCACTAAGTCTCGGGGCTGATGATAGCTCCAACATTGAGAGAGAGAGAGAGAGAGAGAGAGAGAGAGTGTGTGTGTGTGTTTCAAGGTGAGCAGTGTGGAAGAGGGATACAATTATAAAGACTGAAGAAGGCAGTTCTGCTCATTTTATCAAAATCTATAGAGAGCATCCCAACCTCAAAGTGGAAAATGGGCCTTATTGTCTCAGTAGGCTACAGAGGTCATGCATAGATACACGCTGATAAAATAATGTTTTGATAGTTCATTGAAATTTACTGTAACATATATTCCACTTCCTAGCAGAAAGTCTCTCACTAATTTAAATCTGAAAACCTAGAAAGATGCTGATTACTTCATAATAAAAATTAATTCCTTGAAATGCATTGCCTTGGGTTTCTAAATGCCTTAGACTTTCAAAGTACTTTTAGATCCATTACCATGTTAAAAGGCACTGATGCCACGAATACCAATCTACATTTGGTTTTGGAAAAAGATTTCCGTGTACATATTTTGTCCAAATATTACTATTTGTTTCATGAAAGTCAGGACTAAGACTTTAGTAGAGTGTAAATTTAAAGCCAATGAATAAACAGTTGGCTCGAAAAAATACTAAATTGACATGCAAAGCATTTGTTGCTCTGCCAGACACTAAAAATAAAAGCGACTTCTGCCAACATGGAAAAACTTGAATTGTTTCAGTTGGTTCTGAATTTGACTACTGGGTTTCACACTAAGTTAATTTTCCAAAATGCAGTCTGACATAACATTACCTTGCTTCCCCAAAACCTTATCTCATAAAAAAACACACGCAATTGGCATCTTATTTAAATATTGACCTCAAAAATAAATAAATAAATAAATAAATATCGACCTCATAAAATATTTCTTTTATAGTGTAGCAGGACAAAACATTTCTAAAAAAGAGGTATCTTTACCTAGCAAATAGAAATTTGGACATTTTGGAAATTAAACTTGATAGTTTAACAATTAAATTCAAGGTGCCTGGGTGGCTCAGTTGGTTAAGCGGCTGCCTTCGGCTCAAGTCATGGTCCCAGGGTCCTGGGATCGAGCCCCACGTCAGGCTCCCTGCTCAGCAGAAAGCCTGCTTCTCCCTCTCCCTCTGCCTGCCTCTCTGCCTATTTGTGCTCTCTCTCTGTCAAATAAATAAAATCTTAAAAAAAAAAAAAAAAAAGAATTAAATTCAAACTTGGCTTAAACAATAAGCGAGGTTATTAAAATACTGAAAAGGAACATTTTAGACCAAAGGTAGCAAGGAAATCAGTAGATTTTAAATATGAGGTTCCAGGCTGTTACTCAAAGTTCAGATAACATTTTATTCCCATCCTTGGCCTGCCCCTCCCTTAGCTGTCTCTCTAAAAAAATAAATGTGCTTAACATATGGAGTTTGAGATTTATGATCAGTTGCAGAAACCTGTTTAACTACTGATTTATATAGTTTTGGCCAAGGTATTTAACTCTGTCATCAGAACTAATTATAGCAAACCTGAGATTATACATTCAAACTCTCCTTTTGGTGAAAGAAATAGAATGTTCTGCTGAAAATCAGAAACATCCTGAGGGCTCCCAACAAGAACGCACTACCAACCTTCCTTCTCAGAACCAGTGCTATAAAGCTCAAAATTACTGTCCTTAGTAAGTTGTTTTAGCCTGAAGTACTGAAACAGTAACTCACAGTTACATTAATGCCACAATGATGGCCTGAAACGTATTAATCTCAGTTAACAATAACTGACATTTACATCCCTCGTCTAATTCAGGCATTTGAGCAGTAGTAAATGCACATGCCGAAGCTTCAGGAACTGAAGTTATTACTGTTCCAAAAAGAATCCTCATTTTGCTGTGAGCAGATGGAGAAGACAAATGACTACACTTTTTGGGCAACATGGGTGCTCTAAGAATAATGTTCCCATTTTATTGCTTTACTGAGCAAAATGTCTACTTCAAATTAAAGCTGGTAAAATAAATCCGGTCGCAACGACATGCCAGCCGGGTTCATCGCAGACAACCAGTCCCTTCCTCTCCCCCAGTCCCCTCCCTCGCCCCCCCCCTTCCTGCTGTACCATATTTTGGAGCTTTTCGCAACCCAGGCCCCCCAGAAATGAAGACTTAGGAGATGCAGCCCCCCTCGTCCAATGAGTCCGCTGCTACACTCGATCCCACCGTAATGCCCACCACAGGCTTAAAATGCTCCCATCTGTATCAGAGCCCCGAGGAGGGCAGCATGACCACCAGCACCGGACAGGCTGAAGAAGGGCTTCTACGGCTGCACTTCGGGTCACGGGCTCCCAAATCAGCCCCTCAAGAGGCCACTCTGGCAAGGCCTCAGCATGAGCAGAGAGGCGAAGCATTGCCTGCAGGGGTCACTAAGTGCTCGAAGTAGATACGGGAAAAGAAAGAAAACGAGACGTAGCTTGCAGGGAGATGTCCGTCTGCGGGCCCTGTGCGTGAGAATACCTACACTACCCACCTGCGCCACGACAACATGTTTAATGCTTCAGACAAAACCACCGGATTGTGCAGTGGATACTTCTCCCATGGTGGATTTTCTAGGGAAAAGGTTTCTATTCGGTAAGTTTGTATTCCCCTACTAGGAGTCTGAAATGAAATGTTGTAGGGAAACACAACAGGGGATATTAAATCATAAAATATTAAGATTTTCCAATATTTGGTCTGGACACCTTTTTATGATGAATTCTCTAAGGAGATACCCAATCTCCTAAAATCTTGCTTTTTCTATACTGGCTCTTCTCACCTAAGTGGAAGCAAGATATTATTTTTGTTCTCTTAAATAGCAACTAGTTATTTACTTATTCCAGAACAGAGGAAAAACATTAAATATGCTACCATAAATTAGTAAAATTTTGTTAAAATTTTAAGTAACAAAATAACAAAATAATAACAAAATAATAATAAAACAATAATCAAATAATAATCATGGCTCATTTTCTAATGTTCCTGAATTTATATTATCAACCCAGAGAAAGTTTATACCAGCAAGCTAGCAAACCTCTGACGAAGGCTGAGGAAGGGAGGTGAACTGATGAAAGCAGCGATAAGCAGCTCTTCACCTCTGCTAAGCACTGGGCAGGCAGATGTCAAACCACCAAACATCCAGTCTTATTTGCCAGCTTCTTATATGATTTCTCAAAGCCACTTCTAGTTAGGTCTATGAAACACACATCTAATGAAAACTACTTCCTGTGGCACCAATCCACCTTATCCTCATTAATTCATTCAATCTTTTAAGAAGTAATGGGGAGGGGCACCTAGGTGGCTCAGTCAGTTAAGCATCTGACTCTTGATTTAGGCTCAGGTCATGATCTCAGGGTCCTAGGATCAAGCCCCGCATCAGGCTCTGTGCTCAGCAGGGAGTCTGCTTGTGATCTCGCTCCCTCTCCCTCTGCTCTTCCTCCAGGTCACGTTCTCTCTCTAATAAATAAAATCTTTAAAAAAAAAAAAAGAAAGAAAGAAAAAGGAAGTAATGGGGAAGAGGAGTAAAAACAATCAAACTATGTCCTTGGAAGGTTCCAAGTTATACCATCCAGAGTTGTAACTGTCTAGTACAATTATGCCATCTTCTCTTCTAAGAACCATCTCATAATTTAAAGAGTGATAAGGTTGAGAGACATATTTAGGAAGACATTTCCAGGCAGAACTGAATTTAAATCATCATCCAAATACTACACTCTGACCTTTTTAAAATTGTAATATTTTATCTGAAGGTATACAAAAATTAATCAATTGCTTTCATTATTTGACTATGAAATATCAAATTCTACTGCCTCCAATAAAGAACCAATAATTACTTTTATAACATTAAGATAATTAAAGTCGGGCGTCTGGGTGCTCAGTTGGTTAAGCGACTGCCTTCGGCTCAGGTCATGATCCTGGAGTCCCAGGATCGAGTCCCGAATCGGGCTCCCTGCTCAGCAGGGAGTCTGCTTCTCCCTCTGACCCTCCTCCCTCTCATGCTCTCTGTCTCTCATTCTCTCTCTCTCAAATAAATAAATAAAATCTTTAAAAAAAAAAAAAAGATAATTAAAGTCACTTGTAAAGACAGTATCGAAACTTTCTTGCAGTTAAGACTAATCCATTATAAACAAATGCCAATCTTAAAAACACGATTCCAGAATAAGTGCAGTTACACTGGGTACAGATAAGAAAGAACAAGGAACTTACTGGCTATGCTACACCAAATGGATGAAAAGTAAAACTGATTTTATACTGGAGGATTCAATAAATAAGTAAATAAACAAATAAAGTCCTATCTTTTTTCCTATGTATGCCTAGAGTTCTTGTACAAATAACAGAATGCTCCATCTCATTCACTTCAATAGAATGAACTCTTTAGAAAAAGACTGAAAAGATTTAATAATCAACTCCCAAATTTTATGCTTATTTTTCCGATCTATCAGTTTCCTGACATAGTTAACATAAGCAGGTAAATCTTTTCAGTAAATTGAGCAGTTGAAGACTCAAGCAAAAACCCAAGTCAAGACTCAAGTGTCTTGAGGAACTCTGGCAAGTTACATATATCCCATGTTGCTCTTGGTTTCCCATCTCTTCTTTGCTTCAAACCTAAAATAAAGAACATAGAAATCTCAATTTATTTTGAAATACTTTCCTAAACATGCTTACTAAAAGTGCCACAGTAAAATAAACTTAAAACATTTTCACATACTTCATCGATGACAAAATAAATATCAAAAAGGATGAAGAAATGCCTCCAATATTTATAATATGACAAACATGCAGCAAAGACACAAAGAATAAAATGAGTAACAATCACACACAAACTGGATTCATATGATGTATTCCAGGAGTTCTGTAATCCCTATGAAGTTCCTAGAATTACCCCCATGCAAGTTTCTTCTTTTTACGGGCAACCTGTGAATTTTCAGTGTCCTTTTCGTCTCCAAACTTACCCCCATGCAAGTTTCTTCTTTTTTCGGGCAACCTGTGAATTTTCAGCGTCCTTTTTGGCTTTTACAAAGTTGTGGCAGGCAACCGCCTTGGCAATTTTTACACCAAGCTATGAATTACAAAGGAGAAAAACAAACAAACAAAAAGTGAAAAGAAATATTCCAGCTAATACAAGAATTACAGTCATACAAATACTTGAGAACTTGTGGGTATGAAAGCCGTAGCTACAAATTAGAAATTCTTATGCTCAGGCCCCCTTGAAGAAGCAAAGTAAACAAATGCACAGATGTGGCCCATATTTCCCTTACCTCCCACAGACCCTATACCCTGGTTGTACCAGCCTCCTGGATGGAAATCCTTCCCAAACCAAGGGCCCTTGAGGGTCCACAAGGATATGATGAAGATCTTCCAGCTATTCCAGCATTTCAGTAGGCCAAACAGGAATTTACCCCTGATAAGGCTGCGCAAACTGACAGAGACATCAAGTTTCTTTGCTCTGGGCTAGAATTATAGCAACTCAGTATGGTCACATCAGTTATCTCATGCTGATCAGAAGCTCTGATTGGCAGTCATAGATGTGATTAATAAAACATGGGAAAGCTAATTACTGCTTCATAAACGCACTTCGTATGATGGGCAACAGCTTTTAATTCACTGATAGAAAACAGAATATAGGGGGTGCTAAGAAGCGAGAAGGCTGGGCATGAGGACCACAGTACCTGTGTTCCCTCTGTGGGCCCCTCTGTTCCTGCTCAGCCTGACACTCATCTGCCCCAGTCTTGTAAGGTCCGATCAAAACAAAGCCTCCCCCCCACCCCCCCCACCCCCACCCGAAGTCTTCTCTAAGTTAACCTAAAACAGTCCTTGTTTCTGTACTTCTCCAGCCCTTCAGCCTCTCTGCCATAACCTACAGTTTGCACACTCTGTTCTACATAGCTCTCTGGCAGCGAAACTTCCTCAGCAAGTGTCTCCAGGACAAGCAGGGGGATCTTCTAGTTTTAGAGGCTCTGATTTTCAAAATACCTGCCCATATGGATAGCTCAAAAATATCTGTTATGAACCCAGGTTGGACAACAAAGGCTAAAAATCTCCTTCTGGTGTTCCTTGCCCTTTCTATCCCTGGACTCACCCTAATGCACATGAGTGGACAACAGACATGGAAGAGAAGAAAGAAGCTGGAAGTCACTGTCAGGTCAATGTGTTAAAGCCCGAGTTTTAGGGACCTGCTGGCCAACAATGAGGCATCGTGGGCAGGTTAAGAGCACATGTATGAGAAGCCTATTTAGGAAAGTGAGGTCTGACATGCTTGACATTTCTTTCAGCTTATTCTGGAGAACAGTTTCCTTTAGGATGAAACAAACAAGTAGGAATCAAGCACTGCTTGGGGTTTATGAAGGACAGCACACACCGATTTCATTTTCCAGTCCAGGTAAGAATATACATAAAGAATGGAAGCAACCCAACAATCAAACCGGAATGCTGAACGGGTCAACACCAATAGGAAAGCCACTGACCAAAGAGGGCTCCATTGTAACTGAGGAGTGCCCTTGAGAACGCAGACTGACCTCAGAGTCCCAAAATTCACACCAATAGGACCAGCACCACTACCTTCATCATCTCTTTTCACAGGACAACATTCACTCAGCAAATACCATGAGGGCACAAAGGCACTGTCTGGCCAGGCACTGTTCAGGGCGCCAGAAGTACAGCACTGAACAAAACCAAGCTGATTTTCACATTGGGGGCTAGGCAGAAGGGGCTGCTAGTGACATTAACTGTTTGACTGTTTCAATCCTGGCCTCCTTCCTTTGGTTGGCTGTCTTTTTGTTTCCAGTTCTTCATCCTAGAAAAGTGGCTCAGATGGTTAAGCGTCTGCCTTCGGCTCAGGTCATGATCCCAGGGTCCTGGGATCGAGTCCCACATCGGGCTCCCTGCTCCTTGGGAGCCTGCTTCTCTCTCTCTCTCATGAATAAATAAATAAAATCTTTAAATAAATAAATAAATAAATAAATAAATAAATAAATAAAAATAAAAGTTCAGATAAGTCAACTAAGAAAAGGGTAAGAATCAAAGGGCTGGAGCGTCACCACCTAAGGAGAAAATGCAACCAGAAAGGCACTGTGGCTAATCTATCATTAAGATGGATTCCACGGAAAAACTACCCATTTGTCATAAACAACAAAATCAGGTCAGCGCCTGTCAGGTTAGGCTAGCCAAAACCGCACCTCCCAAACAAATTCCCAAATCCCACTGGCTGAACTTTTATTTCTTGTTTCACTTCTACTCCGCCGTGGCCTGGCTGGGCTCGCCTCCATCTTGTGGCACCGGCATCTCAACATGTGACTTTCAAGTCTGCTGCAGCAGAGGAAGCGAAGGCTGGAGGGTCTCACTACGGCTCTTCAACGCTTTAGTCCAGAAGTGACACACATCATTTCTGCCCGCAGTCCTCTGGTCACGGCTATTTATACAGTTCCGCCTAGAGCAAGGCGGCTGGGAACATGGGGTGCTGTGGGCTCCCCAGAGGAGTGGCAGATGCACCTAATAAACTGTCCACTGTCATAAAACCCACCTTGCTACCTGTGTTAAGATGTATGCCATGTCTCTCCACATTCCTGTATTTAGCATCTTCCCTGGCCCTTACCCTCCAAAAGGTAAAGTGCAGAACTCTGTGTTTTTCTATTTAGCTATATTCCCATGTATTATGTATCAAATGCGAATTTGATATATGATATAGTTTTGCCAAGTCTACCTCCCAACAAAAGTCCCATTTGGCGAGTTTATCTTATATTTAAATTGAGCCTATACTCGGAGGATAAAAGAAAAATGGTCTGAACCATATCTGCCATGTACCATTAAGCATGTGAAAAAATTATTTTCTAAAACTATTGTAAATTAAGAGGTAGCTTACATTTTTAACTTATTGAAATTTCCCAACATGGGTTTTCTGGATTGGGGATAAGCCAAAGAGTACCTCAATGTGTTTGATTTAAATGGGACTCATCATCTCAACATGGTCACATACCCTAAGAAAGTAAAAGCTTTTATTTTCTGGCAACGTTAAGGCCAGGCCAGCAAAATCAACATCAGAGTAAGGATTTAGAGCATACGTTCCCTAAGACATAGTATAAATTTATTAAAAATAATTCATTAAAACATATAAAACACATATTTACACGAGAGGGCTTCATCATTTCTGGGGACTAAGTAAATATAATAAATGGCTGGGTACATATAGGTAATACTTTCAAACAGACCTGTTCGTATAAAAGGTATATTTTCCAACCGTATTTTGCCTTGGGTTAGGTTAAATGGAATGTTCTTCAACTGATAAACATTCAACAAGCCTGGCCTATGTATTTTACAGAAAGAATCTTTTAGCTTGTAATGATGATGAAAAGTCATTATCAATTTTGGGTCCTTCACATGCTTAAAATGTGTTTCATTTATTCCTGTGGAGAAAGAACAAAGAACAGAAATATTTGGAAATATGAAAGGATAATAAGATCTATGGAAGAGACAGTTGAGAAGAAACTCATTTTCCCAGGCAAGATGACTAACCCGAGTTCCCAAAGATAGAAGAATTATCGTGCTATGTCTCAGTATTACAAATAATACAGGCCAACAAGAATCTCCCTTTCACTTCTGTAAAATGAAAAATGCATCTTCATGCCCAAAGTAAACATCACAAAAGCTTGGTCAATGGTTTTCATATTTAAAAAAAAAAAAAAAATGTTTCGGGTCATCAGATAACTACAGCAACACAATGTGGAAAGAAAATGTTTAAAATGAATAAAAATATATACAGAATTTCTTGTATGTGTAGCCAAAGTATCAGCATTTTCCATATAGAACATCCAATATTTTGCTGCATTTTAATTAAGGTGTCTAAACATTATCACAAAGAACTGCAAATTGGTCAAAGCAAGCGGTAAGGAAAATTAAGCTCTAAAGGCTTTTTATCACCATATTTCAGGAACCAAGGGTGTAAAATGTTCTAATTTGGGATATATTAAAAGCCATAAAAGGTCTTTCAAAAAGATTAATGGTACTTTGCTTGGATTTAAGATAAGGGCTTTAGCTGGTTGGAAAAGCAGGGCCCTGGCTGGACCCTTGGGGCATTCATCTTTACAGCCACTTGGAAGATTTGTAAAAGCGTCTGCATAACCTCAAGCAAATGCACGGCGACATTTTTTTAATTCCTTTCAATTTTACAGGTTTAGCCTGTGTAAATCATATTGGGTTGTAAAACAGATATAATGGCGCATCTTGTAACATAGTAGAGATTTCTAAAAGACAAACTTTCACAATAAAGGTGGTTTTTCTTGCTAAACCTGCGCCATTCTAAAGTTTGCCGATAATCATTTGAAGCATCTGATTCAAACAGCTTAATCTAGCGTAACTGTACACTTCTTACCCATGTCATAAAATATTTTACTCATCTCCAAATTACTAGCTTGTAACAGATTTATGAAGTTTTCTTCCCTTCTGAACACTTTCAAGGCACTTATTTAAAAATACCAATTATCATACTTTAACTTTTTACGGAATAATAGGTCTCTATGAAAAATATTTATGCCATTCTCTTTTGTTCTTTAATTAAATGAAAACAGATGTTTTCTGAAGTAAAGCGGAACCATTACTGGAGTACTTAAAGTGTTAAGGTCTTTAATTTTTATATCAGTTTGGTCGACAATTCCTGATTGTCTTTACTCAAGCTCAACATTAATGTCAAGCAAGTTACCTAGGAGACGAAAGAGATCAAAGAGACAAAAACCCCTCCAATGTCTGATTAATCAAGCCTGCAAACAGCTTATTTCTTTTAGCCTGCATGCAAGTATGAAAATGAGATTCTGGGAGCCGAACATTGTGCAGATTTGTTCATTCTTATCAGAACAAAGCCAGCGGCAGCTTATTTCATGGATCATTGGCACTGTCATCGGTGCTACACAGAACGGGTGACAGCTCCTCATTTTGAGGCTTGAACAAAATTAGCAAAAAGTCGGCACAAATTAGCCTCTCATCTTTTTGGTAATATGACATTATTCATTTACTTTTTATCCAATTTTTAATTTTTTCCTTGTCAGCTATCCCTTTCTAGTGTCTCTCGCA